ATCCGCCAGCCTTGGCCTCCCAAAGTGCTGGGATTATAGGCGTGAGCCACCGTACTGACCAGCTGTTTGTTCTTAGTTTCCCCTACCCTGATTTTATCAATCTTGTATTATTCTTTTGCTCAAGTGGTCTTTTTTTGCCTGAATGATACGTCTTCCCTTCCTTGACTGGTCAATTCTTATCCATTCTCTTTCAGCACAGACCACTCACTTCCTTCTCTCCTCTCTCATCAGCATGAACTTCATGCTTACTCCAGTTAGCAGCACATAATGTAACTCTACCTTGATTCACACATTTTAGTAATTTCACTCCAGTAAACTGTTTGAGATCAGCGATCACATCTTTTTCATATATTTTTTTTTTTACATGGAATTTCGTTCTTGTTGCCCAGACTGGAGTGCAAGGGCACGATCTTGGCCCCAGCTAATTTTGTATTTTTACTAGAGATGGGGTTTCTCCATGTTGGTCAGGCTGGTCTTGAACTTCTGACCTCAGGTGATACACCCACCTCGGTCTCCCAAAGTGCTGGGATCACAGGCGTGAGCCACCACGCCCTGCTGAAATCAGCAACCAAGTCTTAATTTGTTTTTCCACTCACAAACTGATTCTTACTGAAGTAGCTGGCATAATTGTAGATGTTTAGCAAACACTGACCAAAAAATCATTTATAATAGCCATGGTGGCGTGCGCCTGTAATCCCAGCTACTCGGGAGGTTGAGATAAGAGAATCACTTGAACCTGGAAGGCAGAGGTTGAAGTGAGCCGAGATCATCCATTGCACTCTAGCCTGGGCTACAGAATGAGTCTCTATCTCTAAATAAATAAATAAATAAAACACAAATAACACAAGCCTGGCTGGGTGCGGTAGCTCATGCCTATAATCGAACAATTTGGGAGTCCAAAGAGGGTGGATCACCTCAGGTCAGGAGTTTGAGACCAGCTCGACCAACAGAGTGAAACCCGTCTCTACCAAAATACAAAATTTAGCTGGGTTTGGTGGTGCGCGCCTATAATCCCAGCTACTCAGGAGGCTGAGGCAGGAGAATTGCTTGAACCTGGGAGGCAGAGGTTGCAGTGAGCTGAGATCACGCCACTGCACTCCAGCCTGGCGATAGAGCGAGACTCTGTCTAAAAAAAAAAAAAAAAAGCCAGCCATGAGATCACTAGAAAAATACTAAATATTAACTCTTGATGAGAATGTACTAGGACATCTCATATTCTCAAACGTACAAGTGATATATTTCTTTTCTTTTTTTTGAGACAGAGTTTCACTCTTGTTGCCCAGGCTGAAGTGCAACGGTGCGATCTCAGCTCACTTCAATCTCTGCCTCCCGGGTTCAAGAGATTCTCCTGCCTCAACCTCCAGAGTAGCTGGGACTACAGGCACCCACCACCATGCCCGGTTTAATTTTTTGTATTTTTAGTAGAGGTGGGGTTTCACCATGTTGGCCAGGCTGGTCTCGAACTCCTGATCTCACGAGGGATCCACCCGCCTTGGCCTCCTGGGATTACAGGCATGAGCCACCACACCCAGCCGCAGGTGATAAATTTTTTTTAAATGTTAGGATAAAGGGAAACGAAATGTTAATAATTATTAAAATCAATAGTTATTGAGAGTTTACTCGGTGCCAGGCACTCTGTATCTCATTTAATCAATTATGTGAGATAAATAGTATTATACTCCCGCTTTTATTGAGAAGAAAACTGAGACTTAGAGGGGGACTGGTAACGTCCCTAGAGGTCATTGAGCTAATTAATTCAATGTTGGTCACTAGTGGAAGCATAGCTTGAACCCAGGTGTGCTCACTACAGAACCTGTGCTCTAAATTATTCATTAGTCTCTGTCTACATTGAAATGCTCAGCCTTGCTGTTACCCGCTTTTGCTCACCTGTTCTGTCCATGAAAGACAAGCTGTCTTCGCAGCTGAGTCACCACGCTAAAAAAAAAAAAAAAAAAAAAATTAAGGAAAGACAAGTTGTCTTCACTTTGATGATCAGTGGAATGTTCATAACTGCCATACAGTCTCCTGGGATATATTTTTAATTATGAGTCCATTTCTACAAAGGTCAAAGTTAAGTTGGAAAAGCCATATCTTTTTTTTTTCTTTTTTCTTTTTGAGACAGGGTCACTTGCTGTGTCACCCAGGCTGGAGTGCAGTGGTGCAATCATAGCTTACTGCAGCCTCTGTCTCCCAAGTAGCTCAAACCACAAGTGTGTGCCACCATGCCCAGTTTTTAAAAAATTTCATAGACATGGAGTTTAACTATGTTGCCTAGGCTGATCTCAAACTCCTGGGCTCAACTGATTCTCCCACCTTGCTTTGGAAACAATTAAGGCACAGTGCCTGGCCTAAATTTCTAATTTTCCCCATCGTCAGAGGAGAATCTTTGAGTAGAAATTTGAGTAATGCACTTGTGTACTGTTAGGTAATGAGAACAGAGGGAAAATGTACCACTTTCACCTAAAAATTACAATTTTCAACTTGAAAACATCTGAGATTTCAAATGTTAGGCTTTACAGATGACTTGTCGATTGAGGAAAACTGCTTATTTGGCTTTGAATCAAGCATATCTTTTATTTTAAGCTGTTTCTGTTCAATGAGATCCCAAAGGAGCCTCTCCTATGGTGAAATGTAACTTCCCCTAGAGTGAGGCCAGGAAGCTGTTTCTGACAGTCGTTCGTTAACACATGGGAGAGCATTTTAGAACAGGCGCGGAAGGAAATCCTAGAGCCAGATGAGAATAGTCCTAAGAGACACTGGAGAGCAATGTATGAGAGAGCTGAGATTCAAAGTTGAGAGGGTACAGAAAGGTGGAAGGTAACGCAAAGGAAATGACAGACAAGGAAGACAGCAGGCAGCAGAGAACAGTACTCAAGGAAGAGAGAAGGGTTTGTGTTGTAGCAGAAGTGAGAGTAGATTCGATTTTAAAGAAAAAAGTTAGGCCGGGCGCGGTGGCTCAAGCCTGTAATCCCAGCACTTTGGGAGGCTGAGGCGGGTGGATCACGAGGTCAACAGATCGAGACCA